GAACACTTATAAACCATAAGATGTACACCGAGAACAAGCTCAAAGACGAGCACATCATAACTGTCGTTCAAAAGTTCGTATCATGGTGAAGACAAAAGAAAATGTGCAATTTTTCTTTGTACGTCTTTCATCTTGCAATCTTTTTCTTCTGAGCTTTTGACGGTGTTTCTCTATCTAGTCGGCTCAGGGGCGGATCAAGGGGGTGGGGGGCTCTAGCCCCCCTACAGCTGGTGCATCAATGGAAAATGGGGAGGGTGAGGGAGAAGAAGAGGTGGAGGAAAGAAAAAAAATAGAGAGAGAGGAAGAAGAAGAGACCAGCCCCCTTCAATCCTGTTCTGCATCCGCCACTGAGTCGGCTATACTTTTCCTTGGCTAGAAAGGTTTTTAATCAATGAGGCAGCCAAAACATTAATAAAGCTTATTTAGTCAAACAGTATTATGTGACATTGTCTCTCCTCTTAGGCTAGTTGTACTTAGGTCCTGTTTAGTAGAGCTTATCACCGACTACCGGAGTTGTTTGGAGTCATTTTATGTCAAATGAGGTAAAAACAAATAGCTCCATCTAAGTGGCCACTCAAAACCTACGGAGACAAAGAATTGGTGGAGGATGGAGTTGGAAATAGTAGTTTTACTCAGCTCCACCTCACTCTGGTAGACCCCAATGAAGGTAGAGGCTCGATTTGCCCCCAACCCACTGTTATTGGGAGTTGCCGGGGAGGGCGGGCTTAGCCGCCACCAGGTGTAGGCGTGGTCGAAGAAAAAAAGATATTATAAAGTTTTGACATTTCTATTTATGATGAGGAGGGGTTGTTTTTGCCAAACAAATTATGAAAACAACTCTAGTTCCTGAAGAAGAAAAAAAGACTTCTGAAGAAAAAAAAGAAGAGCTGCGGATTTGTAGAGGCAAGTAGCATACGGAACGAGCCAGTGGCTCAGTGGTAGTACTCGCGGTGGTGAGTCTACCCGCCAGCGTTCGATACCAGGTGACCGCAACGCTGGTGTCGCACCCGGATGTGTGCTGTGCAGCACCCAATTATGAACAGTGTCTCTCGTATGATGCTACAATGGAATTGTGACGTGCCCGTCGTCTATGGAATCTGAGGATTTCGGTGATCTCAATAAGAACACGGTCTTCAGAGTGTAGTTGTAGATTTGTTTGTAGACGGATGATATAAGCCCTTGTTTAGTGGGGTGAATTTGGATTTTAGGGCTACTCAACGTTCAAAAATAATGTTCAAACATGGACTAATTATGCTAAAACATTCGCTAATTTTTGACCTGCTTTGATTTTCGTCTACTGCTGCAGTGGCAGTATATGACGAGACTCTTAATTACTTTTGATTTTGAGATCCAACTAAACAAGCGGCATTTGTGTATGGAGTGGATGTGCGTGACAGGTAGCTATACGAGGGGCAAACAAAAAAAAGTAGCATACGAGTACTGCTAGCTTTTGACCTGCTGTGAACTGTGCAGGGGGACGGAGTGGGCGTCTGGTCTGGCCGGTGGCCGTCCCAAGTTCTGGCAACAAGCGGACAATCGCTCAGCAGTCAGCACGTCAACCTTCTTCGCGTGCCGTGCGCCGGAGTGGGCGTCGTCTCGTCACCCAAGCAGCAGCGGGAGAAGAAATCGTCAGCTGATATGATGTGCCACTGCCAACCTATGCGAGCCTACGGTGCTGTTCGAATCCGATGAGATTATTAAAATCTGGTTTGAAATGAAGTACTTGCAAAACATTATTCGGGCCTGGTTTAGATTGAGGTTAGAAATTAGTATTTGGCATCGTAATATTTTCGTTTGTATTTGACAATTATTGTTTAATCATGGTCTAATTAGGCTTAAAAGATTTGTCTCGTAATTTACAATCAAACTATATAATTAGTTATTTTTTTATCTATATTTAATACTCCATGCATATGTCAAATATTTGATGTGATGGAGAGAGAGAAAAAAAAACTTACAATCTAAACAAGGCCTCATGTGTTTTTTCCAATTCTCTGTTTTACTACTATATCTAGGACATGTTTGTTTTCTACATGCGCTCCTAATGGCCTGTTCGTTTACTCGTATACGATCGTGGATTATAAGCTGGAAACAATATTTTTTCTCACACCAAATCAGCCAGCAGTAAATAATCCACGATCGTTTACGACGAAACGAACATGCTGAAAATTCCTGTCACATCGAATATCTAGACACATGCACGAAGTATTAAATATAGATTTACGAAACTAATTACACAACTTACGACTAATTTGCGAGACGAATCTTTTAAGCCTAATTAGTCCATGATTTGACAACGTAGTGCTACAGTAAACATATGCTAATGACAGATTAATGAGGCTTAAAAAATCATCTCACAAATTAGCCTCCATCTATGTAATTGATTTTATAATTAATCTATATTTAATGCTCTTTATTAGTATCTAAATATTCGATGTGACATGAATTTTAAAAGCGACTAAAGAACCAAACACCCCCTTACATCATATTTCTATGTTTTTTATTCATCTGTTTTCTATTCCTTTATTCTAAACCGACCCTTAAGATATACTTTCATCCTATTTCTATGATTTTTTTCATTCCTCTTATATTCCTTTGTTCCAAACCGGCTCTTAAGATTTTAAGAATCAACTGTATGAGTTAAAATTCTTTTAGAACCTCTTTGGAACGCAAGATTTTAGAAATACAGGACCAGCAAAAACGTAGTAGGAATAAAATACCTTAGACATCTTGAACGCTATGGATTGAGACAACATAGGAAACTGCAGATTGAGAATGCTCGGATGGAGCGTGGAAAAACACATGAATTCGATGAGAGTAACACAAAGGACATTTTTGATGAGGTTCAACCTCTTTAATAAAATCCTATGAAACAAGCCATTCCATAAGAATTTTATATGATTTGTCGGAACTAAATCCTTTATTCCAAAGAGGTTTATATGAAATTTTCCTATAAGATTATAATCCTCTAGAATTCCTCCACTTTTCCTTTGTTCCGACTTCCGAAGGAGACCTTTAGAATATAGACCGTTTAGATGACATATTAGAATTCTAAAATACTTTTTATCCAAATTCTCATAATCTCATGGCATTCAAACGGGGCCTACATACTAGAAGCCGCGACTCGCGAGTTCATCATCCTTCACGTAGGCTCATGTCCCTCGTCTCGGGTACCCCTACATCAATCACGCGAACAGCTTCTCAAAAAAAAAAAGCGAACACTTCAAATTCGGCACAAAGTTGATTTCTTATTTTGGGAACTTTTTTCCAGACAAAACAAAAAGATGTTCAAATCCACATGCGATTCCAATTGAACCGATAACCAAAATCCAATAATAAAACTCATAAAGCCCAAAAAGCAATATGGGCCCCTTGTTGCAAGCTTTCAAAATTTTAGATATTTGAATTTTGTATAAATTTGGATTACTTTGAGCATATTATTTGCGTATTCTTATCTCAAATCAAGCTGATTATGAACTTTTCAACGTTCAAGTTTTCAGTGAATATGTTTATATTCTCCAAACACAGGTGTTAGGCTTACGTCATTCATATGACACTTTGGTTTGGTCTTTCTCACATGAAAAAGAATTTTTTTCAAAGAAAATACACTCAAACAATGGGTCTCTGGCTGGACACAAAGCCATTGTGGGCCATCTGCTGCATGGTTATTCTCAGCAGCCCGATGACCACTCGATGAAACTTTCAGCCCCGTTATGAAGCCCTCTATGGCTCTACCATTCAGTATTCCTCGTTCCCAGTATATAAATTGCACCCACTGAAAAAGGTGTTTCACCTTGTGAAGGCCTTGCCAGAACTGCGAGGAACTCCATGATACTTTGCTTATTTCCATGTATAGCTGCTGCATAAATGAAATGTTACCGTTACATAGATGGATAGTCTGACAGATCCTCCTTTGCCAAATTGTCCAGCCAGTTTTTGGCCCTGCCCGTGCAATTTGGCACTGGCACCCTTTGTTTGAGCCCAGATTTAGCCGTGCCAAATGCATTGGGTCTCCCCTAGTTGTCCAGCAACCCAAATCCTCAGCCGACCACTGATATTTTGACTGACACTGAATAAATTTAACAACATGTGAGCCCTCTATGTCATGCTCACTGTTTTCAGAATCAATATGCCATAGATGCAGTCCAAAGACCATCTTTTAGCTCTAGTTTGGGCGTTTGGCTAGTAACACAACAACTTTGACTTGGTCACAAACCAAACACTAGTTTGTAGCCCCCCAATTTGGCCATGGCCAATATCAGGCACGTTGACCTCTGAAACCTAATAAGACCCTTTGAGCAGAGCACTATTGTGATGTGTATTGTATGCAAGAATATGTAGCAATTTCTAGATCAAATTTGGACTGATCACACGGAAAGAACCACTAGATATGCTATGAGAAGTACTTCCAGTACGTTCCTTTCAAATTCGTGGTCAAAACTAAAACTTTGCTGAGTCAAATTTTATTTGTAGAGGGTATTTTTATTTAGAGTGAGGTCTACAAGAAAAAAAATCACCTCAATTATGTCTTCTACAAAAGATTTCTACCGTTTCACCTCAAATTTTTCACTGAGATTCCTAACTCTATAAATCTATGTCAAAAGCAGCAGTACAAAAGCTGCATCGCTAGCTCTGTCACAAAAAAAACAGTTATTCTGCTCTAAGTTAAGTCTACACAAACTAAAATGGAATATTCGATCTCAATAAGAGACGATAACAATTAAAATTATTTGATTGGACACAACCACAAATATGCTTTTGTGGCTAGGACTTCGGAAAATAATTTGGTGTCATGGTATTTTGTGTTTTCTCTTCTCCCCTTTTGACAAATGATATGAGATTGCTTATTCATAGACATGGATGGCATATATATTGTATGTAAAATATTTGCTAAGCTCACTCAAGGAAATCACACTAGCTGTAAAAGAAAAATCCACATACCAAGATCAAAGTGGTCTATTAACATTAAGGTGGAGAAAGGGCAAGCACTTCTGAACAGGTCAGATCCATTCCCTTGGATTTATGCACGTGTCAAGAAGTTTCCACTCTTCACTCCCTACTTCTGGTTTCTGTAAACAAATAGTATATTAGAAACTTGCCCAAATTTAAGGCACCAGAATGCAAATGGTAAAAAAAATATAACAACTTCCTCCATTCAAATGATTCGCCATAACACAGTACAATTAAATACTAAATTGCAAATGTGTATTTCAAAAATATCCATTCTTTCATCAATATTCTAGAGCCTTAGAACAGCAAGAACCAAATTCAAACAATTCACCATAACACAGTACAACCAAATACTAAATTGCAAACATGTGTTTCAGAACGATCAAAAAATTACTTTGTTTCATTGTTCTAGTGCCTTAGAACAGCAAGAACCAGACATCTTAGCAATTGTGGGTGAGTAAGATAGCTTCTCAGCTTACATGATCATACTCCCACCGTGCTGTAAGAGGAAGAGAAACAAGGATACTCTCAATCCGCCCCCCAGTCTTGAGCCCAAATGTGGTTCCTCGATCATAAACCTTCATGAAAAGCAAGTGTAAGAGCCCCAGAAGAATTGAAAACACCAAGAATAAAATCCTCTGAATGTAAAGGCACTCACAAGGTTAAATTCCACATAGCGACCTCTACGTAGCTGTTGCCATGCTTTGTGCTCCTCAGTAAACAGAGTGTCTTTGCGACGTTCTATGATGGGTATATATGCAGGAAGAACTGAGTCTGCGCAATCTGCGGAGATGAAAGAAAGGCAACTCAACAGGCGCAACTTCAATCAGCAGTTAGAAGTGATGATTGCCATGCACTCAAGTGATGAATTTATATCAAGATCCCCTTTAATCAACAATACTACAAGAGATGGTATGAGTTATGACACCTGTGGCAAAGCGAAGAAGTGTTTCTTGATCATAGTCATTAAGATCGTCAAAAAATATTCCTCCCACCCCACGTCGTTCACCACGATGCTGCAGTCAAAGACAAATAATCATCTCCATGACTTGTTCTGGCGAACATACATGATAACTATTGGCCAATATTCAATAAGAAGACCAAGCATAATTGCATTTGTTTTCAGATGACTGAATCAAGTCAACCATGAGGTCTGCCATGTGTTAGTGAGAACTACAAAAAAAATGAAAAAAAAATCACAAGAATCAGTAGCATCAAACAAACAGCTGGACAAACTAACCTTGATATAAAAATAGTCATCACACCACTTTTTGAATCTAGGGTAAAAGCTAGGGTCATAGTTATCACACACTTGTTTCTGAACCTGAAAGGGTCCAATAAAGCACAAATGAGTTATGCACCAAACATACAGGAACTGAACAAACGTTAACACAACAGCCTTGCACAAGCAGATTTTGGCCAGATTAAAACATAAACATAACTGGATCTATATTTATGTTCTGAACAAGTGGAGAAGAAGGTATTGACATACAGAATGGAAGTGCTTGACATCCTCTTCAATGATATACGAAGGCGTCAGGTCAGTACCACCTCCAAACCACCACTGCCTAGGTGCACCAGGAGCATCTGCAAAGAATGGTGCATCATCCAGAATGGAATTGTAGCAGTTTAATTCATTTCAATTGTCATCACATGTAGTACCTTTAGGTGCCTCTGTTTCGAAATACCGGTAGTTGAAATGCACTGTTGGAGCAAATGGGTTTACTGGATGGATGACCTGACAAGCAAAACAAGAACCAGTACTGAATTTGAGAATTTTAAAAGAGAAATCACACATTTGTTTTCTCCAAATTTTTCCAAAGCAAGAAATTTTCTTAACTTGGATGGTGCTTGTACTGAATTTCTGAACATTTTAAAGATAACATGGGTGACACAGCAAATTGCTGGAAAATGCAAGCTTTGAGCAGGCTATCCATTTGAGATAATGCTCTGCGAGGAGGAATCTTACTTACCGAGCTGATACCAGCCGCAAAGAAGGGCACTGGCCCGGCCTTCTCCCCTCCAGCCGCCGCCGCCGCCGCGACTTCGGGTCTCGCCGCGCGGTATGCCCCTGGAGGCATCACTCCATAGACCACAGAGACGTTCACCGCGGCTTTCTCGAACACACGGCCGCCCTGGAGGACACGGCTAATACCGCCGCCGCCGCCAGGACGTGTCCAAGCGTCCTCCCGAAACAGCGCGCCGCCTCCGCCGCCGTTGTTGCTTGTGCCGCCCTCGACCGCCTCGAGCTCCGCGCAGACATTCGCCTGCACGCGCCGGATCATGCGCTCGAACCTAGCGCGCGCCGACTCCGGGGACGCCCCCTCCTCACCCCGGAGGAAGGTTGCCGGCGCCGCAGGCTCCGGCGTTTCCCCCTCCATGAAAGCGGCACCGAGGAGAGTTATCTATCTATTCCAGGATTTGTTCTTATCCATTAAAACAGGGCTTTAAATACCAGAACGAATAATTTAATTGATCTGAATTTTTATTTTATTTTAGAAACAAATGAACTTGCCGTTTAGTTTTATTGGAAGGCCGTGGCAGTCCCAACCAGGAACAAAGGACACTTTATGATTCTGATGAAGCAGCTGCAATGCTGCATGCAGAAGAAAGCATAAGCAAAGCTATGATTCTGAAACACTAACCTACAGAAACAGTCATATACTCATATGAACAGCAGTTAATACCTTGTGATTTACAAAATCTTTGAGGATTTTATTGAGCGCGTGGCTCATGTGAAGATCACCATTAGCATACGGAGGGCCATCGTGGAGAACAAATGCAGTCTAATCAATCATCCAAACAGAACAAGCAACTAAATCAGATTAACAGATCTATTAAATATTTCAGGTATATATATACTTGATGAAGATATCAACTCATCCCAGTGTTCCTTTCAGATACCCTTTTCAGAACCTGATTCTCATCCCATAATTTTTTGGAGCTCGGGCTCCCGTTGTACGGAATTCGCTCTCAACCCAAATGTTGTTTTCGGGAGATCCACAGTGTGCTTGCTTTGCACCTAGCAAGAGCAAACAAGCCTAACTCAGTTCTACTACTTCGTTTCTCTTGTGAAGTTTCAGTTGATTTCAAAGATGCTCTGTGTAAGCTTATATGCTTGTGACTGTTCACATAAGCCATATGCCCATATTTAGACCTGTGATATGTATGTAGCATAAACCTTGAAGTACAAGGAAACTGGAGGCGAAGTGCTTATGGCTTGGGATCTTCTTCTAGGCAGATAAAGGGTTCCCATTTTGCTTCTCCTATAATTTTTCCCTGCTCTACTTTTAAGTCATTAGGTTGGATTGTTGCATAAGCTCGACAACAACAAAACCTTCTAATGATAGTATGCTTACATTAGCATGCGCGCGTCACATGAGATTCTGTGTATTCTCCAGAACATTGCAGTTAAAATCTCCTTTTGCCATAATCCAGGATTGCCATTGTAGTTGAAGTCACGTGTGCTGGATGTTTTATGGGCTTGAGTATTTATCTTTATATTCAAGAATACATGGGCGCTTAATTTTTTCTGTTGTTCGCACTGTTATACATCGGAATCCCAGAAGATTTTGTAAGATCTGTGGCATGTGTCTGCTTTGTTCCCTTTTGCAGAGCACACATCCACGAATACAACTCTTTGGATGGGCAGCCTGAAATTTTGCGGTCATTATATTCTGCACTCCAGCCATCTAGTACTTTGGAAGATCCAAGGTATAATTGCACTAGGCACAGCAAATATACTCACGGGCCATTTGGATCCTTTCATTTGAAAAAATTAAAATTTACTTAATAAATTAGGCTATTTGGCTTGGAATTTGACATTCTACCACTTTTCAAAGTTCACATTTATAGCCTGTCTCAAAATCATAGTGTGGGAGATGTAAATTGATTCTATAGATCACCATTCTATGTTTCTACTTTGCAACTTATAACACACTCTCTTCAACTGACTCCCCTACGTTAGAAATGCAACACATAAGTATCTCTCTCGTATAGCCAACAAATATAATCCATATACAACCATATTGACTTAATTAATATGTGTCTACATTATAATTATTAAAATGAATTCAATTCCAAGTATCTAAACGGGGCCTAAGTATTTTTCACGTTATCCGACAAGTTTCTAAGTATATTTGAACATTTGATAAATGCCAAACGTACTCTTGCCTCTGCACACCCAAGGAATGCTTTATTTGTGCACTTTGCGGCTTATTTTCTGACAGTGGAAAAATGCTAGTATTGAACCAGCATAGCCATATCTCCATTAGAATTATTTGAAAATGGCTTCAACTCATGTCTAACAGACATGGCTCCAAAGTATCACAGTCATAAGCATGTATTGTTGAACAGTTCTCTTAACATACTGCCACAGAGATCGGCCAGCTGATGTATTTTTTTTCTCTCCAGATATCATGATGCCCGTCTTTCTGATCAGCAGATGGCGTCACTTCAGTACCAAAGGGAGAATACCCATTATCTGAGTGATGAGCAGCGGCGGATCCAGGAAATATTTTAGGGGGGTTGAACAACACTGCTGCTCGATCTTAAGTCTCAGCCCCCCTACACTATAGAACTTTACCTAAAAATTTATGGAAGCTCCACAGGGGGTTCCACTGCTCAGCTTGAGCCCCCCCCCGCTGTGTCCGCCCCTGGTGATGAGGTACATGGAAAAGCATGATGATATCTGGATTTCTGTTTGTCGAAGATGATACATGGAAAAGCATGATGATAAAGGGAGAATATTCATTATCTGGATCTTCAGAGGTTGATGAGAGAGCTAGTCACATCTAGGAAGATAGCTACCAAGTATGAAAACCTAATAAGAGTCCACCCTTTTTAGGGAGTTTGTTGAAGATGAAGGCAAACTGAAACTTGCTGTTGTCACTAAGAATAGCAAAACTATGCATTGCTCCTAAATATTAGGTATACATTTCTTTATGAGCATTATTTCCCACAAAGTGAAGCACAAACATTTGAAAACCTTTTTTTTAGGAAGGGTGGCAAAACCTCTTAACAACAAATACATGTCTGTGCGAAAGTACATCTCTAGTTGTCCTTTTCACACTGCTAGTGTTGCTTGTACAACTACAACTGCAAAGAAAGGCTACTCCAAACCACATGACACTTTATCTAGAGCACCCAACTCTAATGCACAAACAAGAAAAACACAATAGTATGAATGTCAAGTCAAGGACTCGAGCTAAGGGACTGACGGACTGTGGCCCAAGTCGGCTTACCTGATCTGGGGACAACCGATAGAAGGGCCAGGACGACCGCCGCCCTAGCCAAGTACAACAAGTGGGGCGCCCCAAGGGTCCTTCCAAACCAGTCAGTATCTATCTTAAAGGATTCCTAAAGTTATAAGAGGCCAGTTTAGATATGACATACTTCCACTAGTTAATGAATAGATATTAGTTTGAGTTATAAAGGAAAGAGTTCAAATCCTATAACGACTCTATTCCTAATTGCCTTAGGAGTCAAGAAATTACGACTATATATATATATATATATATATATATAAAGAGAGTAATGTAATCAGGTTTAATCAAGAAAGAACCAAAGGAATTTCCTGTCTTTTGCCTCCTAGCCGCCCAGCGCCTACCCTCCGTCTCCCTGTGCCACCGTCGCCTCCTATGCCTACAACACCACCAACCTGTGCCTCTCCAGCGACGATTATGGGTCAGCGGTGGTAGCAAGTCCCTTGCCCTCTCACCTCTTCCCCCTATGACCTCCACAATTCTCTGCCCACCAACCAATTTCCTAACAATGAGAAATAGCTAGCCTGGTCCAATTGACAAGATCATATGTCTGTACATTAGCACCGCAAAGCCAATAATGGTGGTCAATTGCCAGATTGAACACTGAAATGGATCCAAGAGAAACAAGGACGAGCATCGATCATTTACAATATGAGGCCAATTGCCATCAACATCCCCTTACATAGTGCAGGTTTCTGTACCGTGCAAGTGGTAAGCACAAGAAGTGCACAAATTAGCAATTGGTAGACACTGGGTTATGTGAACATTTTATACATCAGCTAACTTTCTGCCACCCAAAAGGTTCAAGGCACCCAGCAATTTCCAGATGCGAGCTTGTCCAACACATCCACCTCCATAACTGAGTAAAGGAGAAAGGAAACCTATTAACACCTCCACCCAAAAGCAGTCATAAGTCAAACAAGGAGACTCACTTACAATGGAAGTACAGTTAGTTTTTTTTAAAAAAAAAATCTCTTTTGGTTCAACTGTGGGCTTCTCAAATTATGAATAGGCACACATCGTGCCAAGTTATTAGTGTTTCCAACAACAGCTAAGACAACAATATGTCTTCCGACAAAAAATAAACAAACCAGCTATCTTGCTAAAATCACAGAAAAAAGTAATGTTTTGCAAAAAAAAAGGGGGGGTGCAGAAATGAAATTGTAAAAGGTGGAGCAGAGTTCAGAAATGAAATTGTGTAAAAGGTGAAATTGTGTAAAAGGTGGAGCAGAGTTCAGAAATGAAAGTGTGTAAAAGGTGGATCACAGAGTTCAAATACCAATGAAATGTATCTGGAAAGGAAAGGGGCAAAGGGTACGAAGAATCTGATTATACAATAAAATAAATCTACAAGTTCAAACAATGAAGGTTAAATTTTACCTATGCTCCAATCAGCACATTACAAGCTACTAGTTTCATCAGTCCTCACTTTCATAGTAAGAACTTGCTCTAATTATGTAGACCTGCACCATTCCCACAACAGATATTGCTTGGTCAGCATTACGATACTATAGAATTAGACCTTATGCAAAATAGATTTCACTCACCTTGAACTTTGTCCTCTCAATCAGCTGGAAGACCAAGCAATCTCCATCAACCAGCTTGTGCTGGATGGCGAACCCTCTCCATCCAGCGCTGAGGCCCTTCTTCATCGCGAGGTAGAGCGTGTCGGACTCGTTGTCATCTTCATCCACCAGGGTGATAGTCTCGTCACGCTTGGGCAGGTGCTTCCGGCAGAAATCATTCGGGAGGCCCTGCAATTTCGAAAACCCACCAAACAAGAATTTACCTCGTAGGGGATGAAAAATAATAGAAAACAGCAGGACATGCCGAATTGAAGCTTCCGCTACTTTACCAGCCAGAAGCCCCCGGTGACATGGGACTGGGTCATGGGCTTGATGAAGATGGGGAACCTGGAGTCCAGCTCCTGCAACAGATCCTCCGCCTTAGAGATGGTGTAGCTCCTCGCCTCGTCGGTCGCGTACACTCGGTTGGCCAGATCCTTTCTCGCCGATCCGTACGTCCTGCCACTCAAGAATGAAGACAAACCAAACCAAAATTAATGATCTACATACAACTCCAGAGTCCTGACTGATTGGCAAGAAGGAATCCAAGCGCGTACCTCCTAATCCTCCTCGCGAAAGCTGGAACCTCCTGCACAGATACACATCAAAGACGAAATCCTGGATCAGTTCGTTTTCAAAGCCGCGATTTGTTCTAGGAAGTAAGGGGAAAAGATGAAATCTTTCGTGATTTCGATGGCACTATGACCCTTTCACACCAACCTCGCGGTACACGGGCTTATCGGGGAGGTTGGCGACTCGGCCGGACCGCCGTAGTGGCTCCATCACGGCGTCGGCGGCGCCAAGCGGCACCCGCGCCTTCCGCTTCTTGACCTGTAGAAAATCCAATTGGGATAAAGTACACCCACAGAAAAGAAGACATCTAGCGACACAAGAAAGAACGCGTCCATCATGGGAACCGGGACACACCGGCGAGGGCTTGGCGGTGGCGGCGGCCTCTCTGACGGCGGCGGAGAGGTGATGGAGCTGCAGCTCCTCCAGCTTTCGCTTGTTCGCCTCCACCTGCCTCCGCCGCTGCTCCTCGTACGCCGTCGCCTCGGCCATCTCCCTTCTCTCTCTCTCTCCTCTGTTCCCCACTTCTTTGTGGTGTGGGTAGTTTTCGAAGGCGAACGGAATGGAGGAGCAGAGCAGACGAGGCGGCGGTGCAGAGACAAAGGTGAGACGGGGGCTTGGAGAGAGGGTTCGTTCTTCTGTTTGCGGAGACCCGGTCCATGAACTGGTTGCGTTCCAGCCCACTAGTAGATGCGGTTGATGGGTACGGACGCCAGGGTCACTTGGTGTATGCACGAGGTGCACGCAGGAGCTAGAAGAAGAAGGGCTCCGAGATTCAAATTTTGAGCTCTGCCGACGAGGGGGCACTGTGGACGTTTTGGAAGAAGTGCCCAAGTGGGGAGCACGGTCTTTATCAAAAAAAAAAAGAAAAAGAGTGGGGAGCACGGGCGGAGTAGATCCGGAGGGGCCCACCTGTCAATTTCACATTATGATGAGAGCGCGTGTTTGTTTGTTGATGGCCAAACATAACACAATTTATTTTAGATGGTTCTTTAATTCTCTCTACTATCACAATTGTAGCTTTCAGCTTGTGTCACAAATACTTCCATATCTTTAACTTTAATGAACCAAGTGAATGAGTTGATATACTTTAATGATAAGTTTAGCAACAAGTTATGGTAAATGCTAATATTTGGCCATAGACTAAACGCAATTATGTGTTGTCCTCTCGAATGAAAATAGTTGCTTAGTTGGCAAAATAAACGCTCTCCATATATTGAGTGATAGCATATTTGAAGAAGCGATTTGAAGATTTTTTTTTTTTTTTACTTCTTGTATATAATAAAGTTCATTAGTCATAATTTACAAGAGGAAGCAATGGTCCAGATCTGAACATAAGGGAAAATTATTCTAAAAGTATATTAGAACTTGTTCGATAGTACTTTCTCTATTCTAAATTATACTTTAAGTCGTTTGGAATTTTTTACTCTAGACATAATATATCTATCTAGACTAGACGTGTCACAGAAATTATACAGGAAAGTCACAACGACTCACTATTTGAAAAGTCACACCTCTTTTTTGCAAGCGCTGTGCAACAATCATAACCAGCACAACCTTGATTAGGTGAAGCCTAAAAAACCTGATTTAGATCAAAAGATCCTTGCTATCATTATCGTAGAAAAAAAAGAGTAAAGTTTGAATATTACTTTCACACACTAGAAGAGATGTGAAAGTACATTAACACGGGGTATCTAGTTTTCAAATTATTGTAACTCTAAATATTATCTTAGCAACCTTCGTGAGGCGTTGTTTCTGTGCTATGCATATGCATACCCCCTTCATACAAAAAGAGTATCATTTGGACAAAAAGAGTATGATGTACGCCCAATCAGCCAACTCATTTTCCACCAAGCAGGCCAGCAAAACACAAAGTTCATATGCGCGGGTATAGCCACATATAAGGCAACATGGTGAATAAACAGTCTAGGTTTTAAACCAACTTATATTGTTCAGTCTCCAGCTTATTATGATAATTATATAAGCTTATTTTAACTTTTCCCTTTATCCTTACAATAATGGATATGATCGATAAACATTTATAATACATCTTATAGGCATGAAAATGTGAAATTAATCATAAGGCAACTCATATAATCTAGCACTTATAAACTGGATCTATACAAAGTTTCTTTTTTAATTAAAAAATATCGGTATGTGACGCACAATTAGACGGGACTCGCTACTTCTCTTTCTTCAATTTTTAGGTCTATTTCTCTTCTCTTTTTGGTCTCTTTTTCAATTGTCTTCCTTTTCTTCAACCATATATATATAAATTATTGGAGGTGCTTTGGGGGTGAGGTACCCCTGCCCCGCGCTGGATCTGCCCCTTTGTATGTGATTCACTAGTACACATTGCCACTCATGATTACGAGGTCATTCCTAAGGTGTTGATGACAATTTGTTCACCATATCTTTAGAGCCAGTTTAGATGCCAAAATTTTTTGCAAAATGACACTGTAGTATTTTCGTTGTTATTTGACAATTAGTGTCAATCATAGTCTAATTAGGCTTAAAAGATTCGTCTCGTGGATTTCGTCTAAACTGTGTAATTAATTTTATTTTTTATTTATATTTAATGCTTCATGCATGCGTCCAAAGATTCGATGTGATGGAAAATCTTAAAAAATTTGGCATTTTGTAGGGGAACTAAATAGGCCCTTAGTAGAAATTCACATGCTAGGTAGGACAAGATGTGGTAGGCTCTAATGATGGCGTAGAACCAACATTCTTGTGAAAGACTATTTCATGGTACCGCATTAGACCTAAACATTTTACAGGCCCAATTGAGCTGAAAAAGGCTCGGCTTAGATATAATATAATGGCACAATAGCCATTTTGGTCCATTAACTATTACTCGAGGCTCAATTTCGTTCCTAAACTTTTAAAACGGCCGTTTATGTCCTCAAACTTTAGTTTTAGGCTCAATTTTATCCTACAACTATTAAGATGATCGTTTCAATCCTTAAATTTTGTATTTTGGGCTTAATTTCATACATAAACTATCAAAGTGCATTTGACTTTTATTTTTAACTCAATTTTGTCTATTCAAAAAGAAAACTTTATATTTTTGGCACAATTTCATCCATAAATTATCAAAATTATAGATCTGCTATTATTTCAATATATTCATGTATTCTTAAAGAATAAATAGTATTCGATGCAACTGTAATTGCTCCCACAAATATCATTTAGTCAGATATATATAAATGGTACCATTATAAAGTAGCCCTAAAAATAATAGCTTGGAATTATCGATGGCTACGAAAGAGTTTTTGGATGAATATTATTTTTCTTTCTCTAATCGCTGGTGGTGTTGGAGCTAACCATTTGCAACAGTGCAGTGTTCCACGTAGAACGTAGACAAAGTTGAGTTGAAAATAAAAGTTTAAAGAATAAAATACACTTTGATAGTTATAAATGAAATTGAGCCCAAAATACAAAGTTTGAGGACTAAAACAATCATCTACATAGTTTTATGATGAAATTGAGCATAAAAGTAGAGTTTGAGAATTGAAACGGCTATTTTGAAAGTTTAGGGACGAAACTGAGCCTCGAGTAATAGTTGAGGGATCAAAATGACTATTCTGCCTAATATAATGGTTTCAATAAAATTTTGTTGGCCTATATGCATTTTAGAATTGATGGCCAAAGCTGAAGAAATCTAACAAGTCCTCGAAAAGTATCCAATACATATATACTTCCTTTCCTCACCCGCGAATAAAATCCTCTCCCAGGCCACCAAGCACTGTTCGACACGGTTCAGTATTTGTTTTTGCAGCACTGTTCATATACTTGTTCAGCTACAAATAAATTGATGGCTCCTAAGCCACCAAACACTATTTGACATTGTTCATGTACTGTTAATGCACTTTTTGGCATTGTTTCTATGTTTGTTTGTAACATTGTTTATCTGTTTTTTTACTATTTATGGCAGAACCATCTGACTTAATCTACTCCTAAAAGTACTTGTCTTCTATTAGACGCTAAGTACCCTAAGGAGCACACTAAATCAGTCAGTTCCGTCAAGCACACCCAACGGAAGAACTCGAAAATCCATGTTTTCATCATGATCATAAATAAATAAATAAATAAAGCTTACAACATTCTTAACCATTTCATATATCACATAATTACATAAAATCGGAGTTATTACAAAACATGTTTTATGTAGCAGCGGAAAGAACAATTATAGTGTAGCATAAATAAAAGTTGATATATTATAGGTTTACAAAATTTTATCTTGCAACATAAATAAACATATGATCGGAGTTGTAGCGGAATTAAATATTTATTCAGAGGCATGTCTAAGCATTTAACATGAAAAATAGTTTTAAAAGATGTGATAGCAGAATTAACTTTTCTTTATAAAACATTTGACGAAAGTTATAAATAAAAACTACGATTGCATCGTAAAAGGAATCTTTGCTGAGTCCACTAGGAGGTATCCACACACAAGAGTTAGCTCTAGCATCCACTTGTTACTAGCAACCGGGGGAATAAAACTCCGAGTACTCGAGTATACTCAGCAAGACTTACCCAATAGGAGAAAAATAAAAATGACTCTAAGGATATGCAAGGTTTATTTCATTTACTGGTTTGAACTTGCAGGAAGCATTACTAATAGTGCATCCTTAGAGCATCTCTAAGAGTTCTCTAAACCTCCCTCTAATCCTAAGTTTTTAGAAAGATCCAAAAAATCCATCTCTAACAACTCTTAATACAATCTCTAATAATTTAGGAGTTAGAAAAAATCCTCCTTATCCGCGTAACTTTACGCGCCACAGCCTCGCGTGTATCCTTCGACTCCCGCTAGTGGGTGGTTGCGCCTGGCGTACGACGGCGCTGGAGCGACGAGGGTGCACTGGCGGCACCACGAGGCCCATCTTCTGAGACCTGAGGAAGTGCTTCTGGGCGTGGCTGCGGATCTGCGTGGCTGTCTTGGTGGCGACGAACGCCTCGATCCTCTTCCAGTCGCGACCGTGCAGCACGGCCAGCGCGTGGAGGAACCGGTCGTGCTCGTCGGCGGTCCACTTCTGCCGAGGATTGGTGATGGTGTACGGCTTCCGGAGCTTCTTCCCCGCCATCTCGGTTGACTTGGCCACCACTGCGGACATTTGTTCCTGACTTTCGACCTCTCAGCTTCTTGAGCAGAAGTAGCGAGGGCACGTATGAAATGAGAGCGGAGGATTCAGAGCTCTCGACCTGGTGTGTGCTGGCGTTCAGAGTGTGCAAACATATATATATGGATCGTTGAAGCCGCGCATAAAGTGAGCATCGGATGCAGAAAACGTGTGGCCGTCTGGCTGGCTGGAAGGAGGCGGCAGACGGCTGGGTGATTGCCGCGGCTGGCTGGACGATGGCGGCGGCGGCAGGAAGCTCGCGGTCTCAGGGTTCGGCGCGCCCTAAGTTTCCCGTGATGGAAAAGAAAAAAGCCGCAACATAATTTATGTGGACCTCAAATTTGATTTTTTAGATGTCATTTATTAGAA